GTGGCGACCTAAAGACATTAAAAAAAAATGAAAATAATAAGCAATTATTGGATGAGGCTGAGCATGATATCAAGAATTATTCAGACCGAGGTCAATGTTATCTGCCGAAGCGAAGCTGAGGCGGATAACATAGACCGAGGTCTGAATAATTTTTGATATCATGCGAAAGCAGAATCCAATAATTGTTTTATTATACATTTAAAGACATGAGAAACGTATAAAACGATTCCTGTTCACGAGGTAGGAAAAGTACAATTTGAATATCGAACACCTTGCACAAAGTCAAAGGTCAGCTAAATATTATATTTCTACTTCTATTTACCTCTATGTGGCTTTTTTCGTGCTTTCACTATCCTTATTTGCCAATAATTTGGAGAGTTCACTTTCATTCAGCGAAGCAAATCTGTTGTCGGCCATTGTTTGTTTTTTTTCCCGCGCTTATAGGTTCAAGCTTTTGACCGCGCAAGGGTTTGGGCACGAGAGAGTCCAATAATTTTTTTTTGGATGCAAGTTCGATCCAAAAAAACAATTATTGGACGCTGATGACGTCATCGGCGGAAAATACGTAATAAATGCCGAATACTGAAAATTAGCCGGTGCTTTCTGACCAATTAGAAACGAGAATACATATTAAATGTATAATAATAGTTATAGTAACCTGTTATAGTTATAGTTGTAGTTAGTTAATTATTTAGTTAGTTAGTTAGTTCGTATAGTTGTCTTGAGATATTATGTTGCTTATAGATTTTTCTATACCACTCCCATATTTTTAGGAATTCCCATTGTGGTAAACTATGGTGTGTTGGTAATGACACAATAACAGCAAAGAATTTTGGCTATGGTGTTTATTGGAGTACTGGTGACTTAAATGGTGGACAAATCCATTGTCGGTAAGTTAAAAACATTTCCACATCACTAACAATAAACCAGTATATATTCTTATCTAGCAAGTTAGGCTTAAATCTATTAAAAAGAAAAATATACTCTATAGGAAATATCCTTCATTTCCTACTGTACAAAATGAAACGCTTTATAAGGCATATAAGAATAAATGTTGCGATGTTGTGCGAGACAATTTTTCCTGCGACTTACACCGCGGTTTCTGTCGTAGACTTGTCTTATCTAAACGGCACGACATTTGTAATTTTGTTTTCTATTTCTTTCACTTTCCATCCTTAAGACTTTATCTGCGGTTTGCAGCGGAGTTTGGCTCATGTAGCATAGCCCTTACTGTTCATAAATTTCGATGTTATATTTGTTAACCAGGGCACACAGTAATTGGTTTATACTCAGTGTTGTGGTGTCCCCGCCATTCGTTGTTAGATTCAGTTACGTACATGTTTGCTGTTATATTGCCATGTTTGTGTGCACGTTTTATGTTGGCAAAGTTTAATAAATAAATTAACTAAATCATTAAAAAAATGCTAAACGATTTTATTGCGAGACTAAATTTGAATGTGTAAAATCTGATATAAAGAAAGCCTGGCGTGTACTTAAATCTTAATGACTAAAGTATTGAATAGGAAAAAAAAGCAAGACACACTTACTGAAACATTCTCTATTAATAATCAGGACATTTCTGATCCATTGTTGATTGCAAATAATTTCCGTAAGTATTTTTCGGGCATTGGACTAGATTTAGCTGACAAAATACCTTTCCCTACCCAGTCTTATCAATCGTATTTACATAAAAACTATCCTATAGCTCCATTATTTTCGAATTTGTGTCAGAGGACGAAATAATTTCCATCGTTGGTTTACTTCGTACTGGCACGTCCTCAGATTATGACAATATTTGCATTTGGTCAATTAAAAATTCAATTAATTTAATATCCAAAACGTTAACTCATATTGTAGCTATCTTTGGAATTTTTAGCTTATCAGGTATTGTACCTGGTATTGTACCTGATAAGCTAAAAATTACTAAAGTGATTCCACTGTTCAAGTCGGGAGAGAAAAAAATAATATCTAGTATAGACCTGTTTCAATATATATTGCCAAGTTTTTCAAAGATTTTGGAAAAGACTGTTTATTACCGAAAAATTAATTATTTGGATGTAAATAAGATATTTTAGTTGATAATCAATATGGTTTCAGAAGAAACCATTCAACTTGACTTCTCTTGCACTGCTTCATTTGGTCGATCAAATTTCTGCTGCTAATGATGACAAAAAAATATACTGTAGGTGTTTTTCTTGATCTTTCTAAGGATTTCGATTTCGTTAACCATGATATTCTATTCGATAAACTTGAATTTTATGGGATCCGTGGTCTGGCCTTAGATTGGATACATGACTATTGTTAATTAGGCTACAAAAGTTCTTGTTCTTCTTATAGCCCAATTAGATGTGTCGTGCCACAAGGATCAATTCTCGGCCCATTATTTTTTAAATATATATAAAGTTCTTTGTAATGCCTCCAACATTCTAGAATTTATATTGTTTGCCGATGATACAAACATATTCTATAGTCATCAAGACATATTCTTCAGTCAAATCGACTATCTATCAATCTAATTATCTAAAGAAGACAAATTGTATTCTATTTAAGTCAAGGAAGAGGAAATTAACACGTGACTTTGTTCTGGAAATTAAAAAGTCACGTGTTGATCGAGTCAGTGAAGTACAGTATTTCTTGGTGTTGTACTTCATGAATGCCTGCCTTGGAAATTTCATATATCATTAATTTCAAACAAAAATATCTATGTCTGCATGGGTATTATTTTTAAAGCAAGCTTTTGTTTATCCAAAGCTACCCCTATTTGCAACACTGCATACCTACTGCCCCGTAACTTTGTTTGATACCATCAATCACCAAGGATTGCCTAATTTCAATTTATTAAATTTTAACCAAACAAAAAATACAATACAAATACAGTACAAAAACTACAATTAAGAGAGAGGAAAAAGTATTAAATACGAGATGACCTGTGTTAGGAAGTTTGGTAAGGAAACCCAACAAGAAGCTAAAAAAGCTTATAAAGTGTTCGGCACTTTAAAATTAGGAATATTTATCAATTAAATATTTAACATGCAGTGATATACAAAATAGCCAAAATATAAAGAATTATTTACAGTTTACAACATTGAAATATTAAATCCTGCAGTTCGCTGGAGTATTCATTAAGTCATTAGGAACAGATTAAACAAAACTCAAAAGATATTTTTTAAATTTATTTCGGAAAGATTCGATTGAAAAAGTACTTCAGATATCTAAACTTAAGTTATTGAAGAATTTTGGGCCTTGATAAAACACAGAAAATCGTCTGATATTAGTAGTCCTACAAAACGGGATATAGAGTAATCCGGAACTTCGGGTGTTGTATTGATGAATTCAATTAACTGGTTGAAAAAAAGTACGGAAGGCATCAGGAAGTAAGTCATTGCAATACGAAAACATAAAAATATACCTAAATGAAATAAATATAAATCACCAAATTTCAGAATTTTCAATTCTTTAAATAACGGATCAGTAGTTGTCTGCATATGCAGCGATTCGCTTTCAAGATTCGCTGGATATGTATAGAGCCCCAAACAATAACACGTTTGTCAATCCTAGAAAAGTTGCGGGCATGCAGAAAAAATAAAATGAAACAACATCTCTTAGTCTCATAGTGTGTGTGAAAGAAATAAGAATGAACATTATCTTTTTAACTCTAATGATAATTGCCGTTTGATCATCATCTGCAGAGATCTGCTGCACGACATGCAGTAGTAAAACTCACGTACACGCTATAATTTGATCTCTTAAGGTCTGTGCAGATCTACCAAGCTCCAGGTAAACCAGCATTGGGTACTGTCTTAGATGGGACAAAATGTGGAAGCGAAATGGTAAGTACATGGAGTATATAATTACTTTTCAAGACAAGTATAAGTGTATCAGTTGTTTTCTGGGAAAATTTAAGATTTTAGTAATCTCTGCTTATTACCCCAAGTTTGTTGAACAATAACGTTAATAAACTTTGTTAATATACTCAGAAAATAGATATGTTTCCAAGCATTCATTGCTTGGCATCGGGCTCAGTCTACATCTTCGCACGCTTTTTGTTTTGCTTTTTATTAACAAAATCAGTAGAGTGTCTTTTCCGGAAGTTGGAAAGACAGTCTGAAGCCAGTAGAAACGTTCATGTTTTATGACGTCGCGGTGAAGGAATGCAGTGTGGAAAGTGAACTAGTTCGTGAACTGTGAAACGCCACAAGTTTATATCAGGACAGCCTAATAAGAGCGGTTGGAAGCGACACAAGCGAAAATGAGTTTAATTCTGATGGGTTTTTATGGAGTCATTAGCAATTTGTCAAACTAAATCAAGTTACTAATAAGTAAAATAACATACAAGTCCCATGCTGCATTCCTTCACTGTGACGTCATAAAACATGAACGTTTCTACTGGCTTTTGAACGTTTCAACTTCCGGAATGACACTCTACTGATTTCGGTAATACTTCGACTTATTTATAACAAATTTACATGCGAGGTTCAAATTGTGAGGTTAAATTATTGTTAATTATATATGTTTGAGTCGTGTAATATTGTTCTTGGAATTTAAGCCATTTCATTACCGTATGCTGATCTCTACCAATAAAATAATAAAACGTTGCTGAATGATTCAGTAGTTTGCCTCATTAATATTCAGTACACGCGTAAGCATGTCATTTTGTAGCCGCAATTTCTGATCGTGTCGTGGTCTATTTTTATACAGACAAGGACGGAAGAAACTAACTTAAATAGTCGATTCTTCTGTGTAGGTTTGTATAGACAACAAGTGCGTATCACTTTCAGTCGCCTATGGTGGACAACCAACATGCGCAAATAACTGTAACGGGAATGGGGTAAGTCTTTCTTATTTGAATTCATATCGTTTATGGCTGGCCCCAATCACCGATTGTTGAAGTTGTTAATTGAATATGTCAAGGAAATCCATAATTTTCAAATGATTTGAGTCTATTTTTGCACTCAACTTTTTAATATTATTTCACTGTTAATTTGATCAGGTCTGTAATGAGAACGGCAACTGCCATTGTAATCCAGGATGGAAATGTCCAAATTGTGCCGAGGTATACGATGGTCCAGGTGGAAGCATCGACAATGGTGTTAATTGTCAGAGTCCGGCACCACCAGCAACAACAGCAGCAGCAACGGCAGAAGCAACAACAACAACACAAACAGAACAATCATCTGATGATATAATCTCTATGAAATTTCTAATACCATTGGTTATTGTGTCAGTGTGTTTTCTTCTTGTTGTTGTTGTGAGCATATACTGCTATACTAATCAACGTCGTTTTCGCCAAAATAGCAATGGACAACCGAACCATAAACAAACTCACCAAAACGAAGCGTTCGGTATGTACTTTTCTTGTACCCATATGCCAAGAGAGCGCTCGCCACTGCAACTTAGCTGAACCTTTTCCACTCAAGGAAAACAACTTGTTCCTATTTTTAGGACACATTGCAAAAAACTCGTAAACAATGTTCCATGAGCTAATAATAAAATATTTACTACCGCATTTCAATAAAGGCCCATCTGGACGCGATTTGGCAACGCAACGCGAATTTTCCATTTTCAATGACATTTAACTTCAATATTTTTCTATGTTTTTCGAATATTCGGTACCACTATTATTAAGCAATTCTAGCTATTTGGTCTGCATATCTTGTAAAATTTTTATCCGTTGAGTGTTTTATTTGTTTTTAAAAACGAATAGTTTCAAATTCGCGTCGCGTTGTCGAATCGCGTTCGGTCTGAATGAGCCTTTATGTTTGTTTTTTAATGAAATACCTGAAATCAATGCAATTTTATCCCCATACATTAATATTGTGAAATAAAATTCATAAATAATGTACCGTTGTGCATTGCAAGTTATTTTCCAATGTTTTTAAGTAATCTGCCTATATTACAACTGCCCAATTTTTAAAGTGCATATGACTCATGACATGAAATTTCTTATTTTCTTAAATGAAAGAACTCTTGGATAATAGCAGTGATATTCAACCATTTTGAAGAGCTTGCAACCAACATGACGTCATAAATTAGCGGACATATTCACACTCATTTACATATGAAACAAATTGAAATATCTCGGGAATAAACCATAAAAACAAGAGACTGAAAAATAAGTTACACTAGAACTTAAGGTTACAGAACACCTTTGAGTGTTAATTTCGCCTAAAAATTTTTTATTGGTTAGCATTAGACTAGTTCTACTATCGAAAGCATTAGACTAGTTCTACTATCTGACTAAGTGTGGACGAAAAATATTGAAAACTCGCAGAGTTATTTAATAAAATACATTTCGCTTGCAATCAGAAAAACATTGAAAATGTAATATTCAAATTCAATTTTGTCCCGAAGAATTTACGGCAATTACTTATTTTTAAACGAGTTGTGCTCCTGCGGGTTTTAACAAATTTTTCTCAAATTTTCACAGGACATAGCTAAAGACGTCAGTTTCAAAATTGTGTTCGGCTTTGTTCTAATTTTGGATATTTTAATAATGAGCAATTCACACAAACGATTCAGAAATATATCGCAGTCGTCAAAGAAATCGCCATATCAGCGGATGATGACGAAATAAACAAAAATTTCCGAACACAATTTTTTAGAACAACTATTTTACTGTATAAAAATGATATTTTCATAAATATATCTTAAAACCAGCAGGAACATAACTCAAAAGCGTAAAGGTACCGCGACTTAAGATTTTCCTGAATAATTCTTACATTATTTTATTGTTTGTCAATTTTGCAACTTTATCATATTTTGCATGCACTGGCTAACATTTGGTGAAAATTTGATGAAAATCGGACTGATTTTGAGCGCGCAGTAGCGATTTTCCACAAAACGCCAAAAGGGTGTCCTGTAACCTTAAAGAGTTCTTTCATTTAAGAAAATAAGAAATTTCATGTCATATGTACTTTAAGTATCAACTGCCTGACCAAAAATTATTGGCGAAGCTGCGATCCCTCGGCCCTCCCCTCTCCTCTCCTATGCTTATGTAAGTGAGTGAGAATATAATGAATACTACAGCAGAAAAATGATCCAAAAACAACTTTCTAAATCTTATAGACTCCACTCAGCAACCTGCCGATGAATATTATTCATACCCGAATGATGATATCCTATATGAAACCCCCATCGAGGTTTTGCAAAGTATCTGGATTGAACAAAATGGCACTGAGTCTATACCACAAATTTCTACTGGGCAGGAACCTTCCGCTTACACTTCCTTGAAAGACAACAGAGAACCAGCCAGTTTCTATCAGCCACTGCAATCTCTCGGGACAAGTGTTAATCGACATCATTGGAAGGAGGCAGATCCGCGTGATCCACAAATATCCACTGAGCAGAAACCTTCCTCCTACACATCCTTGAAATACGACAGAGAACCAGCCAGTTTCTATCAGCCACTACAATCCCCTGGCACAAGTGTTAATCGACACCACTTGAGGGCGAGCAATCAGCCTGGTCAGTACGAAGATGCAGCATTTGTAGTTGCACCGGGCAATGCTTTATAATACGGTTATCATATACAAAGTAAATACAGAGACGCTGGATGGATTTTTCAAGCAATCTCTATCGACACTGTATACCGTCGAATTATATGTAACCAAGGCAAATATATGCTGTAAATGTATTGTATTTTTAGTTCATTGCATGCCTTATTTTTCTTTAAAAACCATAGGCGTACGAAAGGGAGCGGGAAGGCATGGAGAAATTGGATTTCTTATGTTTTCGATTTTTTTACTTCTTCCCCGCCTACCGCCTTCCACCCCCTTCCCCCGCAACGACAGGAATTTTGGGAAAAATACAAAAACATTTTTTCGGGAGTTCGGAATTTCATGAACGTCGGGAAAATGTTTGCGCACCCCCCCCCCCTAATTTTTTCCTCTCAACTGAAACTGTAACTTTTCCTCTCAAGTGAAACTGTAACAGTAGCATGTCATAAAATACTAGATTAAATTTAGTCCAGCATAGTTTGAAGTTATAGTCGAGATATTCAAGTTGGATAGGCTACTAGTGAACCCATAGAATATATACAATTGGGCAAGTCATGAACAGATTTGCTGCCATAATTCCGAGTAAAAAGTAACCAATAATAGTTAGTACTGGTATAAAAAATTATAAAAAAAAGGAGAATGTTAACAATTACATCTTGATAAAAAATTTAGTATAGATTTTTGCTCTGTACATTAATTCTGAAATATTATGCATGGAATCAGAGTTGCGCAATAAACTACCAAAATTGCGCTATAACTCAACTAAATTGCGCTTTAAGCTATAACAAAATTGCGCTATAGGGTGCCTGTATAGTGTACTGATATTTTTTAGAACATATGGACGTATAAGCGTCATGGTTAGTGAAATGGTTAACCAATATTGTCACAAGGAACAATAGACGCAACATTCAGGGCCGTAGCGAGGGGGTATTGGGGGGTGGTGCTGCTACGGCCCTGGCAACATTTTATCTGCAGTCACAATTAAAACGGTTTGCATAAGCTTCAATACCACAACACCCAGCAGACATAAACTTGTGTTGTTCTAGAGTACGTTGTATGCCCATATGCCCAGGGCTGGTGAATACTCGTTACAATTGTAACACGTTACAGGGTACTCGTTGCAGTTTTTTGTAATTTTCAAAAACATGAACAACGTTCAAAATGCATAAACAAAAAGTTGGGGAAACAATTTGGTTTCCAGACTCGTATGCCTTTGCACGAGAAAATGCAAACAGGATAATACCATTGCTGAACAGTAAATTCATGTCTGAAACAGGCCACGATAAGACAGGAATGCACGTCTGGTGTTAACATGCATGCAAGCGCATATGTGTGTGTTATTTCACAATTGCAAGCTACTCCTTACACGAGTAATTCTGGTTTGGTTTTTCTTTTTACGCCCTGGAACAATTTCTTTGTTTTAAGAGGACTGAATTGATATCAAATAGTCTGCCCAACAAGTACAAAATATTTTTCAGGGGCAATTTTTTCACACCTGAGCGACGCTGACACCGTACCTGACCTGAAATATTGCCGCTATACTCCACGGAATATCACGAGCCGCTATACTCCACGGAATATCACGAGCCATGCAGGTGTATTTCAATACCATGCAGTCATGCAAATTGGGTCATATAGGTCGTGCAGGATTGTTAGTTATTGTACTGGTACTTCACAATTATGGTTCCAAATTATACAGTACAGTAATAAACCAGAATCAGGCAGTTTCACACGTGTGTTTACATATGTCCAGCTCTACATATTGCTACCTTACAACATTTTAAACTATACGAGTTCGGTACACTAAAATATTATACTGGCGTAATGCTAATTGGATTTTCCTTGTATCATTATTTAATAAATCAAATCAATGAGCAAAATGTCTGGTACATACAGTGAACAGTCAGCAGTTCATGGTTCAGTGTTAACCATGGTTGTTGGTTATAAGTTTAACAAGGTGCCGGGTGTGATCAGAATTATTTGATGTTCATTATATTTCATTATAGTTCAATTATATAGTTCCCACTACACTGTAAAACCAATCAGTTACTTACCATGCAAAAGACATCGTCGAAAATTTGGGCATGTTACAATGTGATTGACAAACATTCTAATGAATGTGGAGCCAGGGAACCGTATGGTTACATGGGTTCTTCCACAGAGTAAAAACCATTGAGTACATATCCGTGGTAAAAACTGAAATGGTACCTGAAGAGGTGCAATGTTTTCTGACAGAGTATGTCTTGCAGACAGATTATAGACTTGCATAAGGGCAAATTGTGTTATAATACAATTTAAAAATACTCCTTACCGGAGGCCACTGCTGGCACAGTGAACACTATGCCAATTTATTTAATATATAAACTGTGTTTGATTAATTTAATTAGTAACAACGTTGCAGAGCATTTGTTAAACATTCGAACGTAGAACAAGCTAGTAAAATCAGTGGTTGTGTGCAAGTCACCTACCACGACAAAATTTTTTTTGAGGAATTTTATCAAATCACAGACTTTGGAAAACTGCTGATATTATGTGGGACCCCCCACACAAGTGAGAATCCTAAATCCTTTGTACAGGTTTACTCGGATATGATTTTCCTGGTAAAGTGATATTATCGGTGTTAATATTAAACTATTGAGTATTGCATCATGGATATAGCATGAAATATACTGATAATACTGTTCAGTTCCAAGCAAAATTTTAGAGAATACTCATGTCGAATATGCATACAACATTCAAATATGCCATTAGCATTATATTATTGAAGATTATCACTGACAATCTTTGCTGTTAATTAGTTTACCGTTCCACGAGTGTTAGCTCAATTCCACATTCAGGATCTGTTTTCTCTAAACTTGAAGTCTTCCTGTTTTGTATTTTTCACAAAAACTGTTGCCGAGTCAACTGACGCGGTTGGCTCATAGCTAGTTACGGGTCTGATATGCTCTATATATAAACTCGTTTTAATCTATAATGTTATTGACGTTATTAAATGTATCACAAGTACTGTAGAGTTATAAATATCTCAAAATGAGCCATATTGTTAGCTACTAAACTGCCCGCTATCAATAAGTTTCACTTGGATTTCTCATGAAGTTGCACGAATTTTTTTTCTTTCCCCAAGTGCTTGCAGGAATTTTTTCTAGTCCAACTCCTTGCATGAATTTTTTTTGGATCTGCCAACCCCCCTCCCGGGATATCTAATTGTCCACCCCTTACTACCTAGTGCCTAATACAAACGATGAATTATACAATAATTTAACCTATTATTTAAAAAAAAACAATATGTGATGTCCATAAACAATTTTTGAATCAATAGAATGTCCGGAGATTCAATCTCTATTTGGCTTGTATAACGTTTGCGCGAGAAGACCTCAAAAGGAGCTACGACCTACCACACTATAGCCTGCGCAGCGTCTCTCAGATCGACACTATTGTATTGAAATTAACAAGTAAATCAATTCAAAGCTTATACCGTTTCCAAATAACGCTAACGGCATACTAGGGACCGTTCATTTTTATCAGGAGGGGGCTGGTGGTTTTTGTAGGGGGGGACACCAAACATCAATGAATACATAATATATAAAAGTCAAAGCAATAAACTTTCGTACTCTTTCACTTATGAAAACTCAAAGTTGGCAAAGTAAAGTTTTAGTTCATGCAATTTTAGTCAATTTAAATTACACATGTAACAATTAGGAATTTTACATATTTGTGATATTCAGTGCATTTTAAAACGCAATTTATTTTCTTAGGAAAAAACTTCATCTTCATGGCTGTTTACTAAAAGTTACTGGAAGTGACATTGAGTATTACAGTAAAACCGGATGTTCTGTTCCCATGAGTTTTGCAACATTGAATCAATCTTGCAGTGAACTCTGTCTTTTATCTGGAACGATAACATGCAGGACAAACATGAAGCAACGCCATTTCTTGCATGCTAACGCTAGCGTGCTGACATATAATGATTTGTGATAGACCATGCTGCGGTGACGGCGTATAAGGGGACTGAAACTGACATACTATATTCTTATAATATAAGAATATTATAAATAGTGAAATGAAAGTGCGCCAGAGGCCTCGAGAGAAGATGGGAACAATTTCGAAGCATACGATCATACATTTTTATTGCTTGATTTCCTGACTTGTCTGTTGCTATAAAAATATGTTTACGGCATGTTTTTTATAATTTAAAAGCAAACAGGAACCAAATTTAGCAAGTATTTGAATTTTATATGATTCTCAAAGTTGATTGTACATTATAGACAAAATTTTAACTAATATTGGTAACAAAAAATTAAATGGACTTCTTCATAGTGTTGATTTCAAAAAGGCTTTTGATCTTGTTGATCGTGAAATCCTAAGTCTCAGAATGTTCGGATGTTCTCCATTAAGATTTAAGGCATTATAGTATTGAAATTAGTTTACGTCATATCTTAGTGATCGTTATCAACGCACTTATTTCAAAAACATATTATCCGATATGCGTCCTGTTAAGATAGGTGTTCCTCAAGGAAGTATTCCTGGCCCCCTTCTTTTTATCTTATTGCTGCCGGAGGCAGCACTCCTAATCTTGACATGAAGGTTTCTCCAGAGTTCACTCGACCCAGTCTTTCGCGCCGATCTATGTATTGTCGAGAGTTCGATCTTGTGTCTGTTAAGATGTCGTAATTACGGGGGGGTGACGGACGGGGGGAGTGCGAGAAAAATATTAAATTGCGTGCATGCACATAATTTGCAAAGTTTTTATTCTGGATCTGACTTGATGCAAAATGTACCCAGGTTGGAATCCGTAGATGTTACGCTGGATATCTCTGGCGTAAAATGTTATTGATATTTCACGCCATTGGCGGGCGTGCGGAGCAAATGAATGATCACCTGATCATTGACGGGGCGTAAAACGCCGTAAAATCCGTAAATTATGAAGATTGAAGAATCTTCTGATGAAAAATAATACCAAATTATGTATTAATACATCATGATACTTGGGGAAAAAATTATTTACAGGTACCATGTAATATTTTATTAAAGTCTTGAGCTTTTTGGATGCTTATTTGAAATGGTACTCTTAAACTGACTTGGATTTAAGTTCTTGACTGCCGACTGGTTGTGACGAATTTAAATCCGCCTGTGTGGATGTCGGCAAATATAACTTCATATACAAAAAAAAAATTTACATATATTTTTCTATAATTTGTTTGATATAACTAAAAACTAAAACTATCACAGTGTAAATCTTATACTATTGTTGTTAACTGTCAGTCTCAAGCTACGATACTTGCGTCCTTTGGCGAGTTGTTCCTTCCCGTTGTTTCTTCAGCTAGTCCTGACAATCCCGATTTTCAGAGCGCTCGTTAAGTTTACCAGGGTTTTGATAACGGTCCCCGCTTTCAATTCCACTACACCGATCTCCAAATAACTTCGTTTTCACACGTTTACAGCTGAGTGTGTTGCTCAAGTCACTAAAGACTATACCAGAGCGTTTGATCATTGAAGACCCACGTAGTGTATTGCTCAAGTCACTGAAGACTATACCAGAGCATTTGATCATTGAAGATCCACCTTTCCCATATAATGTAAAGTGCGACGTTGATAACGTATATTTCTTTCGTTTTACTTTATGAAGTTATTTTATCAGTGTGTAGACCACTCCTTAATCGGTTCTACTTCAACACGAGTTCGTTCGTTCTGCTTCAGTGTCTCTCTGATTATCGCCTTTTATTCTCTCGCAGTTTGATTACATATTCTATACGCATATGATTTATTATTCTAATGGCTCCCAGGGCTACACCTTCCCACCAAAGATCATATTACGTATGTAATAGATCCCAAAATTTTATACCTAATTATTTACACCCTACTTCTCTTTTTTTTTTTTAAATACAAAAAGTTAACAAGAACAATTCGAATGGAAACGTACCTGAGGGGGAGATACGAAACGAAATTTCCCTTGGAACTGAACGATCGAGTTGCTGCACTTCGAAATCTTATGGCATTCTACTAAGCGCATCCACATTCACATGCTTCTCTCCACACTTATGTTCTAATTCGATGTCATATTCCTGAAGGGTTAAACTCCATCGCAATAATTTCCTATTCTTGTTTTTAACCTGGTTTAACCAAACTAAAGGGTTATGATCCGTTTGAAGGATAAATTTTCTTCCAAACAGATAATACCTAAATGTCTCAACTGCCCAAACTATCGCTAAGCACTCTTTCTCAGTTGTAGACAACTTCATTTCTTCTCTGGTTTTCCAAAGCCTTAATAGATTTATGTGATAAGTCCGTTTTTGTTTTCGCCCCTTTTCTCTATCTAATTCATAATTTAAGCCGTTCGTACAAACGTTAGTGACAGTGTAAGGACCCTGCCATTTGCTTTCGAGTTTACTCCCAGGCGTCGGTAACAATACCAATACTTTATCGCCAATCTGAAATTTCCTATGCGAACTTTTCTGATCATAAAGCTTCTTTTGTTTGGCTTGACTCTTTTTAGTATTTGCATGAACAATACTTTGCATTTGACTTAATCGTCGTCGCGCTTCTAACACATAACTTATCGCGTCTTTGGGTAAAGATTCTTTGCGAACCCAAGTTTCTTTAATCAGTGAGAAGGGCCCACGTACACTCCTCCCATATAATAATTCAAACGGCGAGTACCCAGTCGACTGACACGGAACTGCGCGATAAGCAAACAATACATACGGTAAATACTTATCCCAGTTATCAATTTGATTCGCTACAAATTTCTTAAGCATATGTTTTAAAGTGCCGTTAAATCTCTCAACCAAACCATTAGCCTCTGGATGATAAACCGACGTTTTAATATGCGAAATACCCAATAATTCGTACAACTGTCTCATCAGTTGTCCAATTAAATTAGATTCTTGGTCAGAGACTATTTCATTTGGTAGGCCCACCCGTGAAAATACACTAATTAACGCTTCAGCAATAACGCGAGAATTGTTTTCAGCGGAACTGCTTCCGGATATCGAGTAGCATAATCAATCAAGGTCAAAACATATTTGTACCCTGTTTTTGTTTTTGGTAATTCACCTATCAAGTCGATTGCAATTTTCTTAAATGGTTCAGATACCGTTGGGACCGGATTTAGTGGAGCTCTACTCATAATTGATTTTCGGGCCACTAATTGACATTGTGGGCACGTTGCACAATAATCTTTTACTTCCGTATATAAGTGTGGCCATGAAAAAATGTCGAGATATCCTTTCGTATGTTTTCTCTTGTCCCATGTGCCCTGCAAGTGGAATAGAGTGACCTACTCTCAATATTTCTGGCCTATATGCTTCTGGGGCCACAACCCTGTCAATAAAGGGCAATCCATCATGCGGGTATTTTGTAAATTTTCTATGCATAATAATACCATTTAAGTAGAAATAACCATCTGTGTCTTCCGGTGGTACATTTAAAATAGTTAAATTATGTAAAGTAACATCTTTCTTTTGATCATTAATCAATTGTGAGTGACTACGGTCTAAAATATTTGTTTCTAATTGACAGCCATTTTCAGAGGAGTCTATATCTGCAACCGGTTCTTTTACGCATACTTTCTCGGGATCAGGTTCCGTTATAACATTATTATCTTCACCAAATAAATTATTTAATTCGATAGTCTCAGATAATTCATCTTTTGCGGGTTCCTTAGGGCTTAGAGTCTTAATAGCTAATTCATTTTGTTTATCTGTCAACTTATCCAATCTAGTTTGAGCTTTCACAAGCGCTGCTTGTCTTCGAGTAACAACTAAAGCGGACTTATTCTTGTCACTATACACCACTGTCGGTTCTATATTTAAGTCGACAGCTTGCTCGCAATGATCAAGCAAATTTTTCTTGGCTAAAGACTTGCCATAGGACGAACGCCCAAGTAAACAATCTACGGGGAGATTTCTCATAACCCCCACTAATTCTCGATGTATCCCTTGTTCACTACTTATGGTTACCCATGCTAAAGGGACTTCGACTCTATCACCATTTGCAGTGATAACTGTAATATTTTCACCAGTAAAACTATTTTTACTAACAAGGTTTTCATGCACCAAAGTCCTTGAACAACCAGAATCGATTATCATTTGGACTTTGTTCCCGTTTAAATTCCCTACTATGTAACTTCCAAGAGTATTATATCCCTTCCTAACAATGCGGCATTTTGTTTTTTTTTCTTTCGGCACTCATGCGCATAATGACCTTTCTCTTGACAATTAAAGCACTTAACTCTTGACTTGTCCAATTTATCTCGAAATTTCCCAAAGTCTGGCTTATCTGGATTTCCCTTATTATTTTCGTAAACTTTATCTCTCATTTTGCAAAAATCATCATTCCTAGGCTTATTATCATTTCTTTTGGCACTAACATATTTACCATCAATTAAGGGTCCCTTTCTACTTTGTACATAATCATTCGCTAAATTTGCCAATTCCTCTGCGGTATTGGGCTTTCTCTCTTTCAACCATACTTGTAACTCAGGGCCAACCCCATCTAACAATCGTTCTATAACAATTTGTTCTAATATTTTTTCTCGGTTGTCTATGGCCTCTGCCACAGTCATCCATCGGTTCAAGTATCTACGGGTTCTGTGAGCCCACTGGCCAAAGTCTTCGCCAGCCTTTTTTTCTGAATGGCGAAATCGATATCTATAATGGTCAACATTAAGCTGTTATGCTCTTGATATAATAATAGCCTTACTTTTATTATAATCCTGAGCATCTGGACCAACAATTTCTAAATATATAGACTTCGCTTTTTCACTTAAACGGGGGATTAAACTACCTAGCCACTCATCTTGCGAAATTAACAGGGGCTTAGCAGTCATCTCAAAAATTCGAAAATAATCATCTATATCCTCATTTTCTCTCATTTCTCGCACCTTTATAGGCTTTGGTACGCTCTGCTTAGCTACATAGATCTGATATTTCTCTCGTTCCAATTCTACTTCAAACGCTTTATCTTCCCTCTCAGCCCTCCTTTTACGCTCTTCCCGTCTCATTTCAAGTTCGTTGCGTTCTACTGCCATATCTCTTTTAAATTGCAAAAGAGGCAATCGTTCGTCAAAACTTAAGGACCCCAGGGGCTCGCGAGTACGTTCATAACTTGTGGGCCCCGAGGGAATTTTGCCCTTATTGCCATAATCATGATCACTACTGAAATTACCCGAGTCTTCTACAGTTTTTGTTGTTCGTGTTTTTCAGGGCTCAAACACCCCTCTGTCAGTTTTCAATTCTACAGTCTCGTCCTCTGTTTGTACTTTTTCTACAGCTTTATCACTTGCTCTTAACCTTGCGGCAAGTGTTTTAACGCCATCTTTTGTATTAATTACAATTTCACGACCAGCACATTCTTTTCTTAAGAGTTCTAATCCCCAATCGTCGTATTCACTCATTATACGATTTAATTGTTCTTTCGTGATAATTGTTCACTATTAATACTATTTCTTCCTATTAACCGACTAATCCCACCGCTGCCACCAATTGTGACGAATTTAAATCCGCCTGTGTGGGTGTCGGCAAATATAACTTCATATACAAAAACAATTTAAATATATTTTTCTATATTTTGTTGGATATAACTAAAAACTAAAACTATCGCAGTGTAAATCCTATACTATTGTTGTTAACTGTCTCTCAAGCTACGATACTTGCGTCCTTTGGCGAGTTGTTCCTTCCCGTTGTTTCTTCAGCTAGTCCTGACAATCCCGATTTTCAGAGCGCTCGTTAAGTTTACCATGGTTTTGATAACGGTCCCCGCTTTCAATTCCACTACACCGATCTCCAAATAACTTCGTCTTCACACGTTTACAGCTGAGTGTGTTGCTCAAGTCACTAAAGACTATACCAGAGCGTTTGATCATTGAAGACCCACGTAGTGTATTGCTCAAGTCACTGAAGACTATACCAGAGCATTTGATCATTGAAGATCCACCTTTCACATATAATGTAAAGTGCGACGTTGATGACGTATATTTCTTTCGTTTTACTTTATCAAGTTATTTTATCAGTGTGTAGACCACTCCTTAATCGGTTCTACTTCTACACGAGTTCGTTCATTCTGCTTCAGTGTCTCTCTGATTATCGCCTTTTATTCTCTCGCAGCTTGATTACATATTCTATACGCATATGATTTATTATTCTAATGGCTCCCAGGGCTACACTGGTCAGGTAATATTTTAAGGTAGATTAAAAATCGTAGTATATTTCCGGATGTGACGTAACTAGTCGGTGTCCACTTAGACTCTATGACTTAGACTTGCTCCAATACCCTTTGGGGCTGTCAATTTCCCGTTTGTAATCGGCTAAAATGACTGAAAATTGCAAACTTCGCAAGGCTATATTATCCGCATTTTACAACATTTTGCAACGAAACTTTGAACAATTACTAATTCTGTGATGCTCTTTCAAGATGTGATGAAATGTTTGTCTAGACTTGTTTAGATCAAAATTTAATCTATTACGCAAATGGTCAATTGAAGTGTTGCTCAAATATTGATTCAATACATTACCTCGGGCTGACCAATTAATTTCATCAAGTTCCTCGAAATATTCATACACTTCCTAGTATAATTGTAAACTTCCTGTTGAATAGTTTGAATGCACCAATCACCTTTGTTGTTTGTGCAACTAGCCAATCATAATCACATTTGTTAAATGCGCATAATAAATTAGTTTTAGAGAATTAATATTTGTGAAGTATCGGATTTTGGAAATTGTTGCAGTAGCTTTGATAATCTTTTTTGAAACTAGTTCTATATGATATTTCCATGTCTATCACAATCCCAAGAAATGTTATACTTTTGACCTGTTTAATATTGTCATTATTCATTGAAAGTTTGATATCATGACTTCATCTTTTGTTTGGAGATTTGAATAAAACAAATTTTGTTTTTTTCGTATTAATCGATAACTTATTAACATTAAGCCAATCTGTGATTTTATTTATTTCTGTTTGTATTATTTCATTCAAAGTCTTAAGGCAAGTGTGACCATGAAGTATACTTGTATCATCTGCAAATAATACCATGGAAACAAGTTCAATGCAATATTGAATGTCATTTATATGCAGGAGAAATAATAAAGGTCCTAAAATAGATCCCTGAGGAACACCACTGTTTATTGTGAATTCCTCTGATCGTACATCGTTGTATTTAACAATTTGTTTTCTGTTATTTAAATACCTTTCAAACCATTTTTGTGCTATTCCTCGTATTCCGTAGTGTTCCAATTTTTTAATCAGAATCCTGTGATTTATTGTGTCTAATGCTTTCAATAAATCAAGGAAAATGCCTATTGTGAATTCTCCCCGATCAATCGCAGCAGTAATTTTGTCGACAAAATCAATCATCGCAAGCTCCGTTGATCTGTTTTTCCTGAAACCATATTGGTGTTTTGATAAGATTTTGTTTTTTTTCCACGAAATTTATTAATCTATTGTACATCAACTTTTCTAATAATTTGGAGAAACACGTGAGAACAGATATATAGGTCTGTAGTTTTCGAATCTAGTTTCATCGCTATTTTTAAAAATTGGTGTAACTAATTGCTTTCTTTAAATCTTCAGGAATAATTACTCCATGTAGAAATGTTAATTTTTGTTAAGTTAATTAATGTTAATACGATTTTTGTACTTATATCATCATACCCAGAGCTTTTATTTGAGTTCATATTCATTATTTCATTTTCAAGTTCATTTTCAATAATTGGATTGAGAAAAAGACTATCTATATAATTACTTTTAAGGTAATTTTCAAAAATTTTAGTTTTCTTTGTATTTATTTTTTTGGCTAGATTAGGTCCAACATTTGTAAAGTATTCATTAAATTTGTTAGCAATTTCGTGTGGATCATCTAAGACATTTGTTGAACTTTAGATATTTTGGTAGTTTTTCTTGAATTGTTTAACAATTCGTTTAGTGTTTGCCAAAGCATTTTCGTATTTTGTTTGTACTTGATAAGTTGTTCTTCATAATATTGTTTTTTCGAAATTCTTATAACATGATTTAGCTTATTTCTATATTTTTTGTAAGCCAATTTTTACTAGTGGGGTTGTTTAATAATTTCTTGTAAAGTTTATTTTTGCTCTTTACAGACTTTAATATGCATTTTGTCATCCTGGGACTTTTATTTTAGTTAATTTTTGCTTTATTTTTTCCAACTGGAAAGTTAGCATTTTGAATACTATCCCAATGCTCTGCCAACTGAGCTACGTGGTCAGGTCGGTTCGAGTATGTGATATTTCGGAACAGAATCTAGTTCCTTTGATACCATTGTAATTTAGTAATCATGATATTTTCTGTGTTGATGCAATGTACTCAGGTGAATATATGCTTGTGATGTTACTCTGAGCAGGCATTAATACTGAATTTTTACAAGGACACACTTTGCCTTCAGAGGCGTATTTTTGGTATAAATGCGCAGACTCACGAGAACGACTGAACGAGTGGCGAAACCACAAGTTTAGCGTCGAAGACGCAAGCTTTTAAGCGTGTCTCTGAAATGGCATTTCCAGAGTTCTGAGACTGAGAACAAAATTTTCAAAATCTTTGGCCATTTTGCGTGGATTACATTAATATATTTTCAGTTTAATATATTTTCAAGTACACACTTTTCAATTTACAAGGGCACATTCGCCTTTTACAAGGACACAAAGTGTGTACAAGGACACGCTATTTTAATGCCTGACTCTGAGATTCAGAGTAACATCACAAGCATATATTCACCTGAGTACACTGCATCAACACAGAAAATATCATGATGAGTGTATATCCACACCGGGCAAGCTTGAAAAATACGCCTGTCCACGGTGGGAATCAAACCTGTGGACAGATTTAGAACTAGATTCTGTTCTGAAATATCACATACTCGAACTACAGTTAAGGACTTTGCTCGAACCGACCTGACCGCATAGCTCAGTTGGCAGAGCATTGGGGTAGTATTCCAAAAGTCATAGGTTTGATTCCCACCATGGACAGGCATATTTTTCAAGCTTGCTCGGGGTGCATATACACTCAGTGTAATATCACAAGCATAATATTCACCTGAGTACATTGCATCAGCACAGAAAATATCATTTGCTATAACGTTGACATGTGATACAGTACTTTTATATATGTGACTTGTTTGAAATGCAGTCGCATTAATGGCATATAGACAGCATTGCAATAGCCAATCTCGGCATCTCCTAATATTACCCAATGTATGGCATGTGCTTGCTATGCCTATGGTAACCCTCCTATCGGTCAGCCTAAAACATGTGAAAGGGGCTGCTTATATAGAGGCGAGCCAGCCCAGGTAACTTGGCTATAGCTTGCTTTCCCTGGACGAATTTACATGTCTTATGAGCCTCTCTAAATGGGCTCATGGGCAGGCTACGCTCGCCAAAACAAATCACCCAGACTGAGTTGTGTAATAGCAGCACATTTTCAAATAAAGTAAATCAACATCATACTTTTGCAACTGAACAGTTTCGAAATGTAACTGACAAAAACAGACTGATATCTTTTAATGTTGAAATTGATTGGGAAATGTCATTATATTAGAAGATTGCATGTAAAATTTAACTGATGGACTTGCATGCATGACATGCTTGATTGAACAGTCACACTACATGCATATTTTACATCTTGTAAATATTCTACATTGAACAGAATGTTAACCCTTTATGTGACAATTTTACTCATGAAGGAGAGAGCTAGGCTAAAGCTTTTCTTTAAATGGAAATTTTGAACAATAAATATGTAATATATACATACTGTGCCGGGAATGGAACCTTCTGCCCTGTGATTCTGAACAGCTCTTTAACAGCCGAGAGATACTCAAGCCCTGAGAGTCCAAGCCCCAAGAGTCCATCAAGCTAATTAGAGTTCATGTATATATGAATTGTAATGTTCACAGTAAAATTTTAAGCAGAACAGCATGAAGCTTTTTATTTAGGTTTGGAGAATACATTTTTGCAGTGTGTATGTATGCATGTGTAAATATTTATCTCCTTTGATTTTTGTAGAGTTGGAAAACCGCTGTATTCTTGCAGCATTTGCCTTTGAAAAGGCAGCAAGCAAACAAATTCCAGGGGAGCTATTTTTCGAAGTTGTGAATGTAAGTCAATTTTGTATATTTTATGCCATTTAGCTGATTAGTGATGTCAGAACTTATTAAATTAACCCTTTAAGCTGCAGAACTTCTCTATTGACAAGCAAAATAGTCTGGCATTAGACAAGTAGAAAAAATAGGTACGCAGTGCGTACATGTTGCATGCCTTAGAAACGTTCAGGCCGATCTCCATTCAGTGCAAAATATCGCGAGATCAACTTTTTGCGACCACTTTCTTTTGAAATGCGTTCAGTCAACCTGATCCGTTGCGTTTGATTGCTTGTATTTCAAAAGAAAGTGATCGCAAAATGTCGATCGCACGACATATTGCATTGAATGGAAATCGATATCCGCCTTTGTGGTGCGCAAGCGCTTATAAATTTTGGTCCAACTGGCCTGAAACTTAACATATTGATTCAATAAGTTTAATATCAATATATATATTGAAAATAGCTATTATGTCAAAATAAGAAAACGTAAGATTCTCATACGAATAGGCAATGCTTTATGAGTGACTATTCGTATGCAGACAGTTGCAAGGGACGGTAATAACAAGGTCAACTGCTCAAGGTCAGAGTCAAGGTTTTATCACTGATTGACTATTCGAAGTAAACAATGTTATTAATACAGTAATACTCCTACAAATTTAAACAAATTTAGCTTTATTGTAGCTTATTGAAAGTATAAAAACCCGTGGAAACAGTGAACTACTATAATAGATTGAAAATAATTATTAAACTATGATGTCGACCATGATTGAAATTATCGAAGTAGAATGCTATTTCGTTGTATTAAATTTCAATAGACAATAGTATAATGAGAATTTTGTTTGACTTTTAAATATATTTCATGTTATTTACAGAATGTGATGTAGTTTTGACGTTTTGCACACAATTTAATCAGTGCTAGCACAATGGCTTCGTTTCAATTTGAGCATATTTTGATAGCGTAGCGGTTTATATATCGTGTGAAAGGTTACGGCGTAGCCCAGAGGGCGTAGCCTTTCACACGATATATAATATTAAAACGCCTGATAATTGATAAATATCAGTGCGATCACAATGGCACGAAAATAACAAAATAACAGAATATAAGGTAAATTAAAAACGGCAAAGCTTTACCTACCTCGATCTATTTTTCTAAGGCGCTAAATTACGTAAATTTTCGACGAAAAATCAATATTTTCTTTGTATTTTACGAATCTGTCACGTGATTTACCACCGCCGGTACAACACACAACGTACGTACACGACACGAAATTTAGAGCTACATGAAAGTTGCATGCCCAAATATGGGCATGCAACAAAAAATGTAGGGCATGCTGGAGTGCATTGCGGCTTAATGGGTTAACTATAGACATTGTCAGATTTTTTGGTTAAAAACCCATTAAGCTGCAGAGCTTCCCTATTGACGAGTAAAATCGTCTGGCATTAGACAAGTTAAAGGGGAAGTCAAGTCGGTAATGTAAACAAACGGTTTGTTTACATTTTGAACTGATGTATTTTTTAAAATATGATGTACTGTCTGAATATCTAACACCATTTTGGTTCGCTATACTTCTAAATGAGTATGAAATAGAGTTTATGTTCAGAAAAATTCGAAATTTGGGCAATGTTCACATTAGAGGTCCTCACATTGTTATGAGCAGAACCGATGTGCAGAACGGACTTGACTTCCCCTTTAAAAAAACAAGTAGGGCGCGCTGGCAGCAACCTCGTTCCCAGGCTCTTTCCTCTTGTGGAGCAAAGACCCTGGTCGGGGCTGGTCACGTGACCCACAGAAAATTGATAGTCGAAGAGGGGGATGGAAAAGTCTCATATTACATGTTTCCACTTCCGCACTTCACACTTCGATTCCAAGGAGTGGCCGTTCTGTACAATCGTCTTTGAGAATCATATATACTGTACTTCAAAATACTTGCTAAATTTGTTTCTGTTTGCTTTTAAATTATACAAATATGCTAAACTGTAGATTCTTATAGCAACAGACAAGTCAGAAAATCAATCAACGAAAACGTATGATGACTATGATCGTATATGCTTGGAAATATTTGCCCTTTTATTGTCTCGGGGTTCGGGCGCAGTTTCATTTCACGCGTACGTTTCTGTACCTGGTTCAGATATTTATAATATTCTTATAATATGCCATTGAATTGTTGTCATATGAAACGGTATAAATTTTGTTAAATAGAGGTCTCAAAAGCGAATGTGTCTGTATAGGTCGTAGCGCCTTGCTGGTCTTACAGCAAACGTTACACACTTGGACACTAGCCAAATAGACATTGAATGTCCATTCTATTGATTTTAAAATGGTTTATTGACATATTGCTCCAGCTTTTTTTAAAAAGGTTATCATCATTTATATTAAACACCAGGTAGGAAGGATTGTTAACATACAAAATTGTTTGGGATCGACAGTAAAGAATTATACGACAAATCACAACTGTATGCATTTCCTTTTCTGCACGATTGTTCAAGCCAAAAATCAAACTATTGCAAAGAATCTCCGATATGAATTACATCGCCATTCACCCTCGCTCCTTGAATGCAAAGGAATGATAGCCGAAAAGGTTTAGCAGAGTATTTTTTATTATATCTGGTATAAAGTGTCGCTAAGTTTTATCAGGGATATATATACATAATTCATATACTGTATATGCACACGAAGTCTAGCTCATAGAATTACTTAATATAAAGTTTTCTGAATAAGCCTTTTAAAGTTTCCATTGATAGAAACGTTGTTTGTATAGCGAGCGGACACGATTTATATGAACAAAATATATTTCTTTAAACTAGCAAGACAACAACAACGTGGCTTAACACAACCCACGCTATTTATGTGATTATCATGCATAATATCGTCACATCCTTTCTCGTTTAACAAAGACAAAAGTTTATCCAAACCCTAAATTAATAAATAACCTAATAACTAACTGTTTCCACTGTCTTATTAATTAATATACGCCCTATATAATGTCTCTAAATTTAATGTCTCTAAATTTAATGTCTCTAAATTTAATGTCTCTAAATTTATATATAATTATATTAGATCCTAAATTCCAATGCCTGATACGTTTCACTTATGCTTGATACCTGTCCGGTGGTTTTCTGTCTCTGGTTGATCTCCTTAATAATACTGGGTTTTCCGGGCCAGTCATTGAATTACTAGTAGAGACGATTGGCTTACAAAATGTCTGGCACTCTGCACTATCCGAGGGTCTCCCCGAATCTCGAAACTTTTCCGCGGTTTTCCTAATATGACGCCGATTTCGAGGACCGACTTGCTTAATACAGGTTCCAAGAGACCATTTCTGCTCTTTTGGCAATCTCATGCGAACAATTTCCCCTGCTTCCAGAGGTACTAAAACACGAGCTTTCACATCGTAATTTTCTTTCTGCTTCTCTTTCGCTTGTTCAGCGCCAGTTACAACTTTCTCAGCATCAATGACACGAGGTTTCAACAGATCTTTTGTCGTTGGAAGGCAAGTCCTAGTTCTTATCGAAAACAATTTTTGTGACGGACTGACACCATCCCGTTCACTGGGTGTATTCCTAAACTCCAACAATGCCAGGTGAACATCAGCTTTCGACAAAAACGCTCTTCATCAATAACTTACAGGTTTTCACTGAATTTTCGACCTTTCCATTGGATTGGGGATACCGAGGAGATGACGTTAAATGCTTAAACTCCCACTCATTTGAAAACTCCCTGAACTCTTTGCAAACAAACTGAGGACCGTTATCGGTAAACACTGTCTCTGGAATCCCGTGACGACTGAATTGCTCCTTCAACTTCTTAACAACTGCCGTCGTAGTAGCACTCGTTAAATAATCTACTTCAAAAAAGTTAGAAAAATAGTCAACTGTTATCACGTAATTTCTGTTTTCATATATAAATAAATCAACTCCCACCTTAGACCATGGCAAAGCAGGTGAGTCATGAGATAGAAGTGGTTCTTTGCACTGTTTCGGTTGATACGTGTTGCACACTGAACATTTCGATACCAACTCTTTAACTTGACTCGACATTTTAGGCCAATATAAAATTTATCGAGCTCTTCTCAAGCAGCCTTCGACTCCAAGATGGGAACTATGCAGTCGTTTTGTCATATCTTCTCGTAACGTTTGTGGAACTACAATTCTTCCTGACTTGAAGAGAAGATACGAGATCTGAGATCCTGATACGAGATCTCACTCTGAAGCGAATAATACGGAACAACATCAGGTGGTAGGTATTGTTTTGACGTTGACCAGCCTTTCTCGACATATTCACGAACTTTCTGAAGAACAGGATCTGCAGCTGTTGCACGTTTAAGCTCGTTCAAACGTTCATTAGAGATTGGTAAATCTGCCACCAAATTGGTTTCTTCTAACTGAGCACAAAATTCGTTTCCAGCGTTGTGGTCAACTTGAGTTTCTGGAAGGTACACACGAGATAGGGTATCTGCAATGAACAATTGTGAACCTTTTCTGTAAGTGATTTTAACATCATACTTTTGTAAACGTAAATACATACGCTGTAATCTCTTCGGGATTTCGTGAAATGGCTTGGTCCCGATTTGTTCCAGTGGTTTATGGTCGGATTCTACAGTAACCGATTTCCCATATACATATTGATCAAATCGTTCACAAGCGAAGACTATTGCCAATAGTTCTTTCTCCACTTGTGCATAGTTCTTTTCAGCCTTTGTCATTGCTCTAGAGGCGTAGTGGATTGGTTTACCTTCTTGAGTTAAGACTGCTCCTAAACCATCTTGCGACGCATCACACTGGATAGTAACTTCTTTCTCGGGATCAAAAAACGCAAGGACTGGAGCTTGGGTTATGCTTTTCATTAGGTCTTTCCAGGCTTCCTCATGACGATCTTCCCAGTGCCACTCTACATCCTTTCGAGACAACTGTCGTAAGATTTCACAGGAAGAGGATAAATTTGGCAGAAACTTCGCAAGGTAATTAACCATTCCAAGTGCTCTTCTTAGCGATTTCACATCGGTAGGCAATGGCATTTTCAGAATGGCTTCCACTTTGGCTGGATCTGGAATAAGGCCTTGAGGTGTTAACAAATGACCAATGAATGGCACTTCCTGTAGACGCAACTTGATCTTGTCTGGATTCAGCGTTAAATTTATTTCTCGAGCTCGCTCCAGTAAACCAACAAGATTCTTGTCATGATTGCTTACTGCTTCCTCAACTGTATCACCAAACCCAATCACCAGGAAGTCATCCATTATTACCTCAACACCGTCCAGCCCCTCGATAAATTCATGAGCTTTTCTCTGCCAAACTTCTGGTGCAGATTTTATTCCAAATGGCATTCTCTTCCAATAATATCGCCCATACGGCGTATTGAATGTCGTCAGCTTGCAGGAACTCTCTGATAGCTTCACTTGCCAAAACCCCAACATTGCATCCAACACTGAGAAAACCTTAGCTTTGGGCAATCTTGTCGCAACTTCTTCTAGCGTAGGCAGTGGATAGTGACATCTTTTGACCGCTTCATTCAAATCGCGTGGATCGATGCATATCCGAACTTTACCATTCTTCTTACGAACAACGACCATTGATGATACCCACGGAGTTGGTTCAACAACTTTTGCTATGATACCGTTTGCTTCCATATCTTCTAACTCTTTTCTGACGACCTCACGAATAGCCACAGGAACTCTTCGAGGTGCATGTATTACTGGCGTCTGTTTCTGGTCAATTTCAACGTGATATTCTCCAGGTAAACAGCCCAGACCATCGAAAACATCGCTATACTCACACAAAATTTGCTCTTTTCCCATCGGCTTGTCAGGCATGTTCTTTTCCACGTGACTTACTTCCCGAAGAACGTTTATACTCGATGCACTATCGCTGTCGATAATCTTAACCAAACCAAGTTGCTCACTCGTAACCAAACTCAGTGGTACTTCACAGTTTTCCACGACGAGGAATTGAACCCGATATCCATGACCACCACGATCCAGTTGCATTGACGTACTCCCTCGGGGGAAAACCCTTGATTTGTTATGCATCATCAAAACGCTCTTCGCCGCTTGCAGCTTACGGCCTTCATTATCTCTTGTGATTTCTTCATATACTTTTGAAGGCATTACATTACAGGTTGCCCCTGTGTCAATCTGGAACGCGACGTCCTTGTTTCGGTTTACTTTAAACGTGACGAAGGCTTGATGTTTAGGACTGTTCTTAACCGACGAACTGATATACAAATATTCGACCTCTTGCCTGACTTGGTGTACTTTTGACGATCGACACATTTTTTCAAAATGTCCAACTTTCTTGCAACTACGACAACGTTTTCCCCACGCTGGGCAATTTTCTTTCTTGTTCACGTGACGCCGTCCACAAAACGTACAATCTTTAGACGTCTGAGGTGTCACAAACTCTTTCTGATAACTCGTATCACTCTTTGATTTTATCTTCGACTTAGCCGAACTTGTAGCTGCTTCGCTGTTTGACTTTTCAATCTTTCTTGGTCTTACTCGCTTCACAAAATTCGTTTGCACGTCTTCCGACGATATTTCTTTTGCTTGAAAATGAGTCAGTTCGCTAGACTTCAATATGTCGATGCATTTATCTAAGTCTAGATCGCGTTTTCCGAGTAATTTCTCTCGAACATGGTCATCCCGAATTCCGTAGACAAGTCGATCACGGACTAGAGATTCTCGCAAGTCACCGAATGCACACGTCTCCGAGAGCTTCAGTAATGTTGTTATGTATGCATCTAACGATTCGCCTTTGTCTTGGTTCCGCTTGAAAAAATTGTAGCGCTCGAATATCTCGTTTCTTGCAGGGACACAACGCTCTTCGAACTTCTCTAAAACTTTTGCAATCTTAAAATTGTCGCCTTCATTTTCCCACTGAAAAGTTTCATACATGTTAAGGGCATCTCTTCCAGTGACATTAAGTAAGGCAGCGACTCTAATCTTTTCTGTTTTCGTTGCTATTCCCGCCGCTATTTCGTAATACGACCATTCTCTCTTAAAATTCTTCCAGTTTTCTCCACGATGAGCTCTGTCTTCAAGATTAAGTGGTTCGGGCGGTTTTCCTATACTGTTCGAAGCCATGTTATAGGTTCTTTCGACCTGACACCATGTAGCGAGCGGACACGATTTATATGAACAAAATATATTTCTTTAAACTAGCAAGACAACAACAACGTGGCTTAACACAACCCACGCTATTTATGTGATTATCATGCATAATATCGTCACAGTTTGCCTCTAGTATCGTTTGGTGAAACTGCTAAAATGTTATTACAGTATACGATAAAGATTAAAATTGATTTAAATATTGATGACACAGCGGCATTATATTAAGCCGAGTTATTCTTCAAATATAAAGCCCTGAATGGATAATGGCAATGACAATGAAAGGTCATTATAAGGTAATTAAGGTTTATAATGCACCGGCCTGCTGTAAATTACTGTAATACACGAAATATGAAATAATTTACTATAAAGTACAATACCAGTGTCTGGTGCAATCTGGTGCATATATCGTCCTAAATATTCAAGTTATATGTACCGCACGCACGGAAACGCACAGTGGAGTCTTGGAGTTCGTCTGATGACAGATACCTATACTTCGAGTCTTCGACATAATCATTCTTGATCGTTGAGTTTCAGCAATGTAAATGAAAGGAATTGTATACAGTCCATAACGGGTTTTAATCCTGTGCTTTCACATTCAAGATAGCACTATTGTTTACACAAAGTTGGCGATGTTTGGGAAATCAAAGCATCCCGTTATAAAATAAATCCTTTGTTGAATATCGGACAGGATACACTTCAACCATAAATAACGGCGATGCATGCTCAACTTCGGCGATGCATGCTCAACTTCGCAAGCCAGGCACGTGTGGAGTCCCTCCCTTGAAGTGAAATATGATCCAGCTTGTCGCTTGAAATGTACCGCAACACTTATTATTGATGACATTCAGTGTAACAGGAAGTCGTGTCATGATGAATACGAATATAAAACAGTTTCTTTCACGGATTTCTTGTTGCAAATTAGATTTAATCACCCAAAACTATAACACATAAAATTGCAATTTTCCAAACGCGACAAACAGACTCCTCTACTACCCCTCCCTGAGAGCAATTCAATTTACCACGCAGAATCTGCGGGGTCACGTGACCAGCCCCGACCAGGGTCTTTGCTCCACAAGAGGAAAGAGCCTGGGAACGAGGTTGCGCTGGCAGTTGCACCATGCATGCACGCTGACAGTTGCAACATGCATGGGCATATTGTAAACACTGGACTGGACTTTGGACTTTGAACTATGGACTATGGACTTTGGACTTTGGACTTTGGACTTTCGATTTTGAAATTGTATTATGTTTTAGATTTTCGTATAATTATATTAAAATTTAAACAGAGAACGAAAATTTGCTGCTGAAAAGCGTGCTACACTGCATGCACATGCATGATATAATAGACAAGGTAAAAAATACTCCGTATCAGTTATATAGGTATACCAGCAGTGTAATTTCATACGGATATAGCCTGTAGGATAGGAGGATTATCCAATATTTTTGGATTTAATATTTAAATTGTATATAATATTTGTATTTAAAGTATGCATAGTACAGTTTATACTGCAGAACTTCTTCTTTATCATATAGATAATAGATTAATTGTCAGAAACTGCAATTGCGACAAAAGTGTCTCGGCAAATACAAAATATTAACTATACTTAACTCATAACATCATAAAGATCTTGTTTCTTAGTCTCATCCCATACAAAAGATATTGATTTATTCAATACTTCCATATTGACATTCGGATGTTTAGGTGTTTTGATTCTCATTACGAAATTTAAACAAGAATGGTGAGAAAACTCAGTTGGGTAGTCTACTGTAAAACTGTTGATGAGTAGAAATAACTCCTGCGCAACAATAGCGTAATCCACGACACTTGATCCATTATAGGTATTACAAGTAAATTGACCAGTTAAATCACCTTTAGTCCTACCGTTCAATGCAACTGAATTATTTTCAATGCATAATTCAACTAACGATCTTCCGTAACAATTTGTGTTTAGGTCTCTCGAAAATCGTTTACTTACTATAATGGTGGATAAATTTCCCTCATTCAGAAAAGGATCTACATGTGTAAAGTCATCTAGAGTACCTGTTCTAGCATTAAAATCACCGCATAAAATGACGTCACCCAAAACTGAAAATTTATGGATGTAATTTTGAAGATTTTCAAAATGATCAGTATTAAGTCTGATTTCTCGAGAGGAATTTTGAAGTGGTATATAAACTGAACAAACGAAAATATCACTGGTTAGATTAAAAAATGTCTTATCTAATTTCCACCATACAAATTCTTCATTACTGCCTTTATCTAAAAATTTGACCCCCTTTCGGAGGGATTGTTTTACCAGAATGGTTATTCCACCTGAATTTCTTCTCGAACTAAGGGATTTTTCTTTACGACATTTAGAAAATGAACAATAGCCATCAATGTGAACATCTGGATTCCCATAGGGAAGCCAGGTTTCTACTAGTGAAATTAAGTCAAAATGGTTTATTTTGGATAAAAAATCTGTATCATTTAATTTTCCGTTTAACCTATTAATATTCCAAACTCCAAACCGAAGAAAATTTTTTGCCATTATTTAAGTATTTTGTAAGAAAGCTAAAAAGAGACATATAGTTAGAATCTATTATAAAATGGAGGTACCTGCATTGGAGTATACATTACCCGACGTTGTGATTGTTGATTAGCTGTTAAAATACTTAATGCATTTGCCATAATCTTCAGTTGTTCCTGTACATATTGTACTAATATAGGAGGGTTGATCGGGTGATGTCTGAACATTGGCCTGTCGTTGATTCCGTGCTGCGCTGTCCTCGGGTCTTGGTCTAGGGTGCATTGCTAATGATTGAATACTGTCTTGTTGAGTTGGAGTGTTCACTGTGTTGTCATTACGTCTTGCTCTGGGGTCCATTGTTAAAAATGTTTGATCACTCTCTTGCTGAGTTGGAGTATTGGCTGTGTTGTCATCATGTCTTGGTCTGGTATCTATCACTGGCGGTGGTTTGTCGCTTCTGTAATGCTCTGCATGCTTTGGTCTAGCTGGACTCTGAAATGCTTCTCGCAAAACTGACTTTATGTTTCTTGCTCTGGCTGGAACTCTATACTTTCTACTTAGATGCTGCACATCATGGTAATAATCTGAATATCGCAGGTTGTCATTATACACATGAAATACATTTCGATATGACTTTATAACTCTATCAATATCATCATTGATTCTGGGTACTTCGTCATCAAACTTATCATCTCTAGGAGTGATATCAGAAAGGATTATTTTTGCATTAGGAAAGGCTGACATAGTTTTCTCTACTAATTTAATTTGATTGTTTATAATTTCTTCCGGCGTGAGATGTTCAACATCGTTTACACCTGTGTTAATAATCAAACCTTTGTTGACCTTAAATCGAGTTTAGGTTTTTGTCGAGGGTCGAGTGTCGAGGGTCCAATGTCGAGGGTGAGGCTAAAAAGTCGAGGATGAGGGTAAAAAGTCGAGGGTGAGGGTAAAAAGTCGAGGGTGAGGGTAAAAAGTCGAGGGTCACAAAAAAGTCGAGGGTCATAAAAAAAGTCGAGGGTCGAAATTTGCGGGCAAAATAACTTGTTTAATAGTTGTGACATGGATTTATCATATATATGCATGCAGAACTACATGATTAACTTCACGCTCACGCTCTAACCCCTATTCACGCTCGCTAGTTAACATGTTTATGTCTAATCAATGAGAACGGTCTCTTTGCTTTCTTATCAAATTAACGTAACAGCATAGATTATCGGGTAACTGTAATCCTCAAGCCAGTAATGACAATATATTAAGGCAAAATATTAATATATTACCAATAGCAAATTATGATTGAAAAACTTGTGTGTTTTCTGCTAGATCGGAGCGTGGTTAGCGCGGTGCAGACATGCCACTCAGTGTTTCAAGAAACAAAATGAACGCTAAGTGATTCAGTCAATATTACTCGTCTTACGGCCAAACATTGTCATTGACCAACCTCGCAAGCAAGGGTCTCCACACCAGTGCGGCGGGACGGAGACCTTTGCTTGATGCGAGGTTGAACATTGCCATTGCCATTGCCATTGGCTTGTTTATGAAATTATACTACGTTTAGAAATTCTTTTAAGTTAATATTGATAATAAATACTCTTTAACCTTGCTTTTAATGAAAAAACTCCGCCTTTGTACTAAGAATGCCTTAAGTTAATCAAAAGTGGCCTGGAGACATTACACGCTAGAAGACATGCTGCTGCGTGAAACTTGTTAACCAGACGACCCAAACCATCAACTTAATGAGTTAGTTTCTAGACCAGAATTGTCCCTTAATTCATGATTTACATCATGGGAGAAAAACCAGGAGAAAAACCGTTTTAAAAACTCTTTTATCGTTTTGTATATGACCCTCGACTTTTTAGCCTCACCCTCGACTTTTTAGCCTCACCCTCGACTTTTTAGCCTTACCCTCGACATTGGACCCTCGACCCTCGACAAAAACCTAAACTCCCTTAAGGGGGAGCTTCACCTCAAAATTTGGTCGATTAGGATGAAAATGGCAAAATATCTAAAACATCATGATAGGATACCTAAACTCATGTATTTTATCAACTAGTGAAGTCTTTACTTAAATTTCCATACTTTTTACGGAAAAAAATAGACTTTAGAGAAAGGATGTGAGATTTCATTGGATGTTTACACCAGGTTACCATGGAAACGAGCTTCAAAAATCCTCTAAAAAAGTCGTTTTACTGTGCGATTTCAATGTAAAAATTTTATACAGGGCTACTATGCCAATGGTGTGGATTATGGATATGAGAGGCACATAGGGACATGCTACAATTGCATAATTTTGTTATTTACATAATTTTACTCATTTACATGAGGCTTTGAGAATATATTCCGCTAAATTTTCCATTTTGTCGCTATATTTTGTTGCATTTTTGGTTTGTAATAATGCCAAAAGGTTCCAAAGAAGGAACAAACTTTCGTGTGAAAAACAAATCAAAGAAAAAGCCCGTTTCAAAGGGAAACGATTCTCTGATTTTTGCGAAGATGGCGATGTTTTGAAGGAAAGTTCATGGCTCTCAAATCTAACACCCGATCTGGATCAGAAGAGTAAAATGAAGACTAATATGACGACGATTTATTGAATAAAACTGATGAGAAGTCAACATCGGCAAAGAAACTGGGGAAAGCTAATTTAAAATCACCTCAAATTACTCCTGAAATTGAAGGGATATTATAAACTTCAAGGCAAACTTCACAAGGACAAGAAGGATATCGGATTGTTTGTATTGAAAACATTAGGAAAACTGTTGAGAACATGCATAAGTGCAAAAATGAAAACATTATAACTTCTGAAGATGCTGCAAAACGTGCTGGACTGAGCAGTACTTAGTTTATTATTTTGAGTGCAGAGGATTGACATGGATACATAGAAGCCAGTTGAGGGAAAGGCATGTTCTATTGATGTAGAACTAATTTTCCTATGGGTGAGCTGGGCTTAGGTTGGGAAATTCTTTTAACTATTTGTGACATTTTGAACACTGGCCCTCCAGTTTATAGTGATAGTGCTTACCAAAAACACAATCAATCGGTGAATCTAGCAACAAGAAAAGTATTGGAAGAAAGATTGAACATTGGCGCGGCTGGTCGACTTGATGTAATAAAAGAGCTGAATATGTCTGCTGGTTTTTATACAAAAACTGGAAGTGGGAGAAAGAATGACAAGAGAGTAAAACAAGCAAATGCAAGGGCCCAGATGAAGTTCAAGGAAGCAAGACAGAAGTTTCAAGAGGCAAAATTGGCGGAATAGGCAAGATCGAAGGCACGGAAAGGAGTAACATATGAGAGCGCGGCATTTAACGAGGATTGTTTTAGTGGTTCAACCTAAGAGAAAGAGGCCGACAAGGAAAAGTAGTGGTAAAAAGGGCAAAAGCAAGCTGCCAAGAAAAAAATAGAGCCTCAAACACTCTTATAACACTCAAACAACAAGTTCCAACGGAAATTAAACTTTAACTGTCTATTTCTCAAAATGTGATATTTGGCCGCACGTCAACTGCCCCCCTAGCTTTTCTTGTTACTGTTTTAATGAAAATTTTCCATTTTTGGCACAGATGTAGTTTAAGGTATGTAGAATGCAACTATGAGCCATTTTTTTGATATTTATTTTCTAACAGGATTTATAGTGAAAAGTGTATATGCAATCTGTTTTATCCGTTACCATAGCAACCATGGTGAATTACAAAAAAATGGCTCATAGGAGCATAGTTCAATATCTTAGCTACCACAAGGTGCATTTTCACTTAGATACATCACATATTATGTGAAATTTTATGGGGGGGCAAAAGTGGCTTGTAAAATCCAGTTTTCCATATACTACTCGCTTCTTTGGTGTCAAATTTCAGTCCGATACACCGAACTGGAAAATTTTTTGTCTCAGCTGATAGCTAAAGATCTCTAGTTTCTAAAAATATATAGTTTATGCATATTTTGCTTAAAAATATGCCTCCTAACAATTGTTAAAGTTTTGTCCATTTTGAAGTACGATTGGGGTGAAGCTCCCCCTTAACTTAGAAAATATCGGGCAAATCGAAAAAAAAATTTTGATCTAGATCGACTTAGAAATGTTCAAAACACATGTTGATGCAGAAAGTTTCGGTATAGGGGAATTTTAAAGCGTATTTTGATATAAGAAATGCTAACCCGTCCTTCATTATACTTTGTAATTGGCTAACCCGCCACCCGAATTCTTGAGTCAAGTAAGCTGCGTGTCTCTTGGAAAATTTCGACCAAAGTTTGACTTACAAACATATTTTAATATAAATCGACTTAGGGTGGTTCTGATCTGCCTATTGGTGCAGAATGTTTTGGCATAGGGGAATATTAAAGCGCATTTTGAGACAAGAAATGCTAACCCGTCCTTCATTATAATTTGTACTACGCTAAGGCGAGTGCTGCCTTTATAAACCAAAGTTTAACTTAGAAAATATCGGCCAAATCGAAAAAAAAATTTTGATCTAGATCGACTTAGAAAGGTTCAAAACACATATTGATGCAGAAAGTTTCGGTATAAGGGAATTTTAAAGCGTATTTCGATATAAGAAATGCTAACCCGTCCTTCATTATACTTTGTAATTGGCTAACCCGCCACCCGAATTCTTGAGTCAAGTAAGCTGCGTTTCTCTTGGAAAATTTCGACCAAAGTTTGACTTACAAACATATTTTGATATGAATCGACTTAGGATGGTTCTGATCTGCCTATTGGTGCAGAATGTTTTGGCATAGGGGAATTTTAAAGCGCATTTCGAGACAAGAAATGCTGACCCGTCCTTTATCATAATTTGTACTACGCTAAGGCGAGTGCTGCCTTTATAATTATAAACCAAAGTTTAACTTAGAAAATATCGGGCAAATCGAAAAAAAAATTTTGATCTAGATCGACTTAGAAATGTTCAAAACACATATTGATGCAGAAAGTTTCGGTATAGAGGAATTTTAAAGCGTATTTTGATATAAGAAATGCTAACCCGTCATTCATTATACTTTGTAATTGGCTAACCCGCCACCCGAATTCTTGAGTCAAGTAAGCTGCGTTTCTATTGGAAAATTTCGACCAAAGTTTGACTTACAAACATATTTTGATATAAATCGACTTAAGATGGTTCTGATCTGCCTATTGGTGCAGAATGTTTTGGCATAGGGGAAATTTAAAGCGCATTTTGAGACAAGAAATGCTAACCCGTCCTTCATTATAATTTGTACTACGCTAAGGCGAGTGCTGCCTTTATAAACCAAAGTTTAACTTAGAAAATATCGGGGAAATCGAAAAAAAAATTTTGATCTAGATCGACTTAGAAAGGTTCAAAACACATATTGATGCAGAAAGTTTCGGTATAGGGGAATTTCAAAGCGTATTTTGATATAAGAAATGCTAACCCGTCCTTCATTATACTTTGTAATTGGCTAACCCGCCACCCGAATTCTTGAGTCAAGTAAGCTGCGTTTCTCTTGGAAAATTTCGACCAAAGTTTGACTTACAAACATATTTTGATATAAATCGACTTAGGATGGTTCCGATCTGCCTATTGGTGCAGAATGTTTTGGCATAGGGGAAATTTAAAGCGCATTTTGAGACAAGAAATGCTAACCCGTCGTTCATTATAATTTGTACTACGCTAAGGCGAGTGCTGCCTTTATAAACCAAAGTTTAAGTTAGAAAATATCGGGAAAATCGAAAAAAAAATTTTGATCTAGATCGACTTAGAAAGGTTCAAAACACATATTGATGCAGAAAGTTTCGGTAT